AAGAGAAAACAAAAATGATCAAAAAATTAAGTTACATTGGAAAGAGAAAGTAAAAATAAAAATTGCTGAAAATAGTGAAGGATAATGAAGACAGGTTGAGAAAATAAAATGGAAATAAATAGCTGGGACATAGTAGGTGCAGAAAATAAAAATCTAACTTAAGTTTAATTGGTGTCCCAGAAGAAGATGGCCAAAGAAATGAAACAAAAGCTCAACTATCTAGTTAAAGAAGACTATATAGAAATGAGGTTTGAAATAATGAATCCAAACTATCTCAAGACAAATTTATGTAAAACAATTGGCCCTGAAAGATTTTTAAGGGAAGTTTCTACATTTTAAGAGTGAAGAAAGAAGATTTAGGACATCCAGGCAGAATGATCACGCTCTTTTTAAGAGAAGAAGGAGAAATTAGGCTAGCTGCATTTGATGACAGGGGTAACTGGACAGTGCCTGAAAATCTGCCACCATTATAGGTTGTACAACTATAAATACCTGAGAATAATATACTTAAGGGGCCTCCCTGGTGGCCTAGGAGTTAAGACTCAGTGCTGTCATCACATCTGCCCACTGCAGCTGGGTGGCCTGAGTTCCATCTCTGGCTAGGGAGCTGACCCACATATGGTGCAGCAGACCTCTCCTGTCTTGCCTGCTGCTTCCCTTAGCAGTGTATTTCAGTAAATTTGCCTGTTCTGCTCTCCACTCTATCTCTGGTGAATCTTCTCAACCCCTTCAACTCTGACCTACACTCCAGTTCTTCTACACAAAAATAAAATCTTAAAAAAAAAAAAAAAAAGACCTAAAAAGGGCCTCCCCTGGTGGCGCAGCAGCTGAGCGCTGGGTTGTGAGCCTGCCCGCAGCCTCTGCAGAGCCAGTTGGATCCCTGGCCACCGCAAGGGTCCCACCAAAAAAAAAAAAAAAAAAACCCAAAAAAACAAAAAAAACCAACAACACTTAAAAAGAAAAAGAATAATATACTTAAGGAGCAGGAATGCAAGAGTGGAGAGCTGTCATCCTATGCCTATGTAATAGGAAACCTAGCCTTGTTCCTGACTCAGGTTTTAACCATCAGTTTTGCAGTTGGAGCTAGTTAATGGTGGGGATGAAAAAGCAAAACTCACCTTCATTATTATCCCTTGGGGTTCAGGGGTGGGAGTATAGGATAGGAACAGAAACTCTGGATGTAGGGAATGAGGGAAGGGTATGTGAAGGATGATAGTGCTACTAATGATTTTGCAAGAACACAATAGAAAGTCTAGGTGAGACAGTTTATAAGGGAAAAAACAAAGTACCAAACTTTCCTTAAAAAGTAAAAAACCTGAGTGATTTTAAAACTCATGGAACAGTGGAAATGTAGTTAAAGATATACCACCAAAAATGGCACAGCCCTCAGCTTTATGAGCTAGTTTACCAAAGGAAATGTGTAGCAAAGGCATTCCTACAAATCAATAAGAAAGTAGACTAGGCAAAAGTTTTGAGTTGATGTTTTTCATTGTAATGATGAAGAGCTTGTTTTATGGGGCTGCCTACATTTAAAATGCAGCTTTGTGATCTTGGGTAAAATACTTAATGTCTTACTCAGTATCCTCTTCCAAAATGGAGATGTCGAGAGGGGTAAATGAGGTAATACTCATAAAGCATTAAGCATAGTGCTTATACTTGATCTATCACAAGCACTCACATGTCAGTGATTGTCATTCAGAAATAAAAACAGTATAATATGCTTGGCCTCAACAGAAAAATGGTAGCGAAATGCCATTTTTTATCCATCAGATTAGCAAACATGTAAAAGATTTTCAGTGTTTACACTTTCAGTATGGGGGAGCTGGCATTTGTATTCCCTAATGAATGTGTAGATGGAAGCAACCTTTTTGAAGCTGCTTTGACAGAATCTATTAACATTTAAAATGTGATACAGCAGTTACATTTCTAGCAGTCCATCCAATAAAAGCATCTGGACCTGTGTACAAAGTATTGTTTATGATAGCAAAACAATGGGATATAGCCACAATACTTGTGAATGGTTAAATAAATTATAGTATGCTTACCACAGTCTGCTGTAGAAAACTGAGCTAGAGCTGTTTGTACCGTCATGAGAAGACCTTCCAAGATACTTCTTTAAAAGCAAGATGCAGGGCCTCCCTGGTGGTGCAAGGGGTTAAGCACTGCACTGTGAAGCAATCTGCGGCCTCTGCAGCAGGAGTTTGATTCCCTGCCGGCCAGGGAGCAACCCATATGGCGCAGCAAACCTCTCCTGCCTCGCCCACTGCTCCCCTCAGCAGTGTATTTCAGTCAGTCTGCCTGTTCTGTTACCCACTTTGTCTCTGGTGAATCCTCTCACCACCACCCCCACACACACCTCTGGCCTGTACCCCAGCTCTTATATGCATAAATAAATAAATCTTTTAAAAAAATAAAAGCAAGTTGCAAATAAGCCAAAAAAAAAGCAAGTTAGAGTATATTTTATGGTTCAAGCCCATTTATGTTTTTAAACTTGCCCCTGACCACACCCCCCCACCATATACGCATATATAAATGCACAGAGAACCTTTTGGAAGATACACATCAGACTGATTTGAGAGTACATAAGTAGAATTGGGGGTGAAGTTAATAGAAGATTTACCACTTCACTCTGTATTACCTGTATTTTTATAGAGAACTTACATTCTCTTTCATCATTAAATTTTAAACATTCAAGTATCTGGGGAAAAAAAAAGTTGAGTATCAGTGATAGCCAGTTGTTTTTCTCAATATTTAGTTGGCAGTTTGGTTCAGAAGAGCTAGAATCAGTTATATTGAGAATTAAAACACAAATCTGCAAACACATGAATTGTCTAGGAAAAGGAAAGATGAAATCTCAGCTGTTTTCTGACTCGCATGGGTTAGGTGCTGAGGGCAGAGGTTGTCAGGCCTTACTGAAATCAGATCCCCTGGGAGGTTCTGAAGACGACTCCTGGGCCCCTCTTAACAGTTGTTGAATTAGAATCTTGGGCTGGATTTGGGGACCCCAGGAATGTGTAAGACTCCAGGTAAAACATGTAGTCAAATTTGGAAATAGGTCTGTCGAGACAGTACAAGCAAAAGAAAGACTCAGGCCCGGCTATAAGACATTTACCAAGAGAAATAGTGCAAGGTAGTATTGTAGGTACTTTCTGTCATGAAGATTTTTAAAAGACATGGATGGCACGATCTGTAAACTTACATAGACAATTCCTTAGGAATCTACTTAACTACTGAAGCTAATTAATTTAGCAGTTATAGGAGCCAAGATGAATGTGCAATTGTATTCTATATATAAATGTATTCTATATAGTGAAATTTAAAAATTCCATTTATAATGCTTTTTATAGTAATCAGCACTGAGGAATTAAGTTGATGAAAGAAATGCAACACTTGTGCATTGAAAAGTTCAAACCATCACTGAGAAAAAAAAGTCAAAATGACAAACATACTGTATTTATGGGTTAGAAGGTCCAGTATTGTGAAAACAGCAGTTTTCCCACACTGGTTTATAGGTTCAACATAATCCCAACAGAGTCTTTGTAGAATTTGTCAAACTGGTTCTAAGATTTAAACAGAAAAGCAAAAGTATAGACTAGAAAAACTCTTGTGGTAAAAACAACAAAATTGGAGAACTTGCACATCTGATTTCAGGACCTCATCGGAAAGCTGCTGTTATCTTGCTAAGTGGTTAGCCATGCAGACCAGTGGCACAGACTGCCGAGTCCAGAAACAGATGGACAAATGCACGGTCAGTTGATTTTCAACAAAGCGACCAAGGTGATTCCAAGGAGAAAGGGTAGTCTTTCCAGAAATGATACTGGGACAATCCGACATTCACATGTGATTCATCCCTGTATCATGAAAGAACTTCCAATGGATCATAGACCTACATTCATCTAAAACCTGAAAAAAAAAAATTTAATTGTGGTAACATTGGTTTACATCTTTGTGTGTTAGAGGTATGGGATCTCCCATTCAGGTGTCACACCACACCCACCACCAGAGCACCCTGGGTCCATTCCCCCATAGTCACTTGTGCCCCCTCCCCGCCTTGCTGCCTTCCTCTCCCCCTCCCTCTCATAGCCTCAGTGCCCTTGTCAGATTTCTAGGGTTTGTAAAATTAGAAAACGTGTAGGCGAAAATATGACTTGGGGTTAGGCAATGATTTCTTAGGACACAAAAAGCATGAGCTATAAAAGAAAGGATGAACCAATGTCATCAGAAGTTTTAATTTCTGTTCTTCAGAAAACACTGAAAGAAAATGATAGAACAGCCATAAACTGTGAGAAAATATTTTCAAAACATGTAACCAAGGACTTATAACCAGAACGTACAAAGTACTCTCAAAACTCAATAAATAAAACAACCTAGTAAAAACTGAAGTGAAACTATTCTGTATGATACTATGTATGTGTGTCACACCCTATGGATTTACAGCACAAGGAGTAAGTGCTAGTGTAAACTGTGGACTTTGTCAGTGTAGGTTCTCCAGTTGTAAAAAATGTGCACTTTGGTGGGGATTTTGAGGTGGAGGAGGTTATGCATGTATGGGCAGGAGGCAAATGAGAACTCTGCTTTCTGCCCAGTTTTGCTGTGAATCTAAAACTGCTCGAAAAGTACTTTAAGACAAAGTATCTGAACAAACATCAGAGAACAGATGTGGATGGCAAGAAAGCACATGAAAAGATGCTCAGTATTATTAGTTACTAGGGAAGTCTAAATTTAAATTATACTACACACCTATTAGAATGACTTAAACACATGGCAATGTGCCTTGCTAGCAGAGATGGATTTTGTTTCTGCTGGGCGCTGGCAGTGTGCGATGTCACTCGACCCCCCAGCTGGGCTTCCTCAGCTGACCTGTGGGCTGGTTGGCCTGGTGCCCACTCTGTAATCAGTTATTTACTCTGGTTAAGTGTAGTCCTGTGTCAGGACTTCTGTCACTCACCAGTGACCTGAGGAAAATGATATTTATGTGGCTCGATTTTGGTGTGTTACAGGTTCAGCTTGTTGGTTTAGATGAAGAGAGTTCGGAGTTTATTTGCCGAAACACTTTCGACCATCCGTACCCCACCACAAAGCTCATGTGGATCCCTGACACAAAAGGTGTCTATCCAGACCTGCTGGCGACAAGTGGTGACTATCTCCGAGTGTGGAGGGTAAGCAGGTGCTGGGTTGGCAGCCAGGCCCACAGCCCTGTCAGCTGTTGGGAGCAGCGTGGAGAGCTGCCTGGGCTAGGAGGCAGCAGTGTCCTGGCAGCCTGGGGGAAGCCAGTGGGAGCCATCTGGACTGACTGACTTTCGCTCAGGCGACTTTCTAGTAAACCAAGCTGAGCTTCCTTGAAGTCCTGCAGGAAACCTGAGGCTCATGAACTAGATGTAATAAGGAGAGCCGCCTATAGGGTGGTACTTTTGAGACATCGTCTTCTGTTTACAGCCAAGATATCTTTGAGTAAATTAGCAAAATACCAGGCCATTGATTCTAGGCAATTGAGTGCATCACCCCCTACCCCTTCAGCTGAGCTCACCATGAGCAGTGGATTCTGGGTTGGGCACCATGAGAGGACCTTATCTCCAGAAAGATTTGAGTATGAAAATTCAGAGAACAAAGCTAGGCAGAGGAGAAAGTTTGGAAAGCAGCATTCAGAGAATTCCTCTGGGGTTCAGTCTCTTTGGATAAAAATGTTCTCCCATGTCTTATATTTATTTGATTATAGTCTACATGAGGCTTTAAGACTTTGTGAAGACAAGACTGGCTGATTTGTTAAAATTATTCTCCCTTCAGGTTGGGGAAACAGAGACCAGGCTGGAATGTTTGCTAAACAATAATAAGAACTCAGATTTCTGCGCTCCTCTGACCTCCTTTGACTGGAATGAGGTGGATCCTTATCTTTTAGGTAAGGGAGTGCAGGGATACGTGTTCCGGGTTCAAGATGCAAAGATACACTCTCAGATAGAACATGGAACACCTTTTCACCAGGGGCCTGAGGTATACATCATCCGAGGATGGGGCCAGTGGGTAAGAAGCTAAATGTGGCACATGATCACTGGCTACATATGTGGCATGGGGAGCTGTCCACGTGTCTGCAATCTTTTTTTTTAAAATATTTATTTATTTATTTATGTATACAAGAACTGGGATACAGGCCAGAGGCGTGGCGGGGGGGTGAGAAGATTCACAAGAGAGAGTAGGGAGCAGAACAGGCAGATCTACTGAAACACACTGCTGAGGGGAGCAGCGGGCGAGTCAGGAGAGGTCTGCTGAGCCATGTGGGTTGCTCCCTGGCCAGCTGGGGATGGAACTCATGCTGCAGCGGCTGTGGACAGCTTCATAGGTTGCGTCTTAACCCCTTGCACCACCAAGGAGGCCCCACTTGTCTGCATCTTACCTCCCCAGTTAGAGTCTAAGGTCCTGGGGTGAGGAGTGAGTCCTTGTCTCTCTTGGCTCTCTGAATACCCTTCCTCTGTTCAGGAAGTGCTTTGGCATGTTGTGTTCTGGGCTGGACAGATGAGTAGGCACACGGAGAGAAACTCACTCCTGTCAGCCATCACTGACCTGCGTGCTTGTTTCCAGGTACCTCGAGCATCGATACAACTTGTACCATCTGGGGGCTGGAGACAGGGCAGGTCTTGGGGCGAGTGAATCTTGTGTCTGGTCATGTGAAGACTCAACTGATTGCCCACGACAAAGAGGTAAAGATGCGGCTGGTTTTTTTCTTTCCTCTGATGCTTTCCGTGCCTTCATCGTGAGTGGTTAAGCTGCCTGCTTGCTGTTTTGCAAATTGTGTGGGAAACCATAATATAATGTTAGTGTTGTCTTATCTAAATAGAAAACAGTCATGTGTCCAAACCGCAGGAAACAGCACTGTTGGAAACAAGTGCTTGGGGGCTGGTGTACACAACTTATTCTCCAGCCTGCCAGAGGTGGTTTATAGACAGAATAAGCAAAATCTCTTATAGACAAACTTGGACCAGGTGTGATTAAAAAATAATCTTAGACTAACACTTATCTTAAAATATATTTACTTTTTGGGAGGGCGGCAGGAAAAGGGAAAATTTCCTGGCAGGCAAACCTATTCATCCTTTTTTCCTAAATTTTTTCTATGAAGTTTTGGTGTGTTCCCTTACTACGGACACTTTTAATACGGTTTGGAATTGTATATGTTTCATTTTGATGGTGATGCTTCTTTTATGTTGTTGTAAAAGGCAACAAGAGCTTTATGTATTGTGTTTTAAGCAAAGCATTCTTCTGGGTATTTTTGGAATATGGCCATAAATCTTTTCCTCCCAGAGCGAGTGCATGCCTGATGCTCCAATTTCCTGTGAGAGTGTTTCCTTTTCTTTTCTACCTTACCCTGCATCGCAAGGTGTAGTATCGCTACAGATAAAAAGGGTGTCTTGACCTCAGGTCAGAAATAGGAGTTTGTTTGTTGAATGGGTTGAATTCGGGAGGAAGTTGGTGACTAGGTTTTCATTTTTAGTGAGGGGTCCTTTTCTGGCTTTTTGTGCTTCTATGGTAAGTAAGAGCTCTTACAAGACTGCTGGCCTTGGCTGCTGCCAAACCAAGGGGCACAGGAAGACTTTGCCCTAGCGAATGGACCTATAAGGAACTTCTGGAAACCCTCTTGACCATCAAGTGGAACAGGTTGCTATATTTTAGTTCTTTGACAACTTTGCCTGCTGTTCTCTATTAGTGTTCAACCTAGAGCACCGGAACTATCCTAAGTGTTTAAACTGAGGGGGTGTCAACCCAGGGGAATGCCCACACAGATGATGGTAAGGCTGAGAAGCCAGCCACCGTGAGGTAATCTAGAGAACAGGAGCAGCGAGAAGCTACAGCGTATAGGCTGGAGGGGTGATGGAGGAGGCAGTTAGTGGAATCCAGGGGCCAGTTTACCTGGAGATAGAGCCATTACCAGAGGTGCTTCTGAGAACACAGAGGGGAGGAGAAGTACTTCAGCTTCTCCCCACCTCCCACCGTTCAGTTTCCCAGCAGGGCCTCCCATGGCTGAGCCAGCCAGAAGCAGCCTATGGACCTGGGACCCTTCCAAACACAGCCTGTGGGAATCCGTTCTCTCTGATACAGAGAAGAGGAGAGGGAAGTGGCAGGAGTGGATCTTAACAGCGAGCAGGCCCTGGACCAGCACTGTGGTCTTGAAGAAATGAAGCTGAGGCTGGTTGCTGTGAGAGGAGCAGTAATGCCTCCCAGCATCTTCGGTCTTTCTCAGCCCACCTCTCTCTGTCAGGCACTAGTTATGGAGACTTCTGTTGCTGCCTAGTGTTAGTGTGGTGGGGATTTCATGTTTCTGGGAATTGCCTCCTTCTCTTGGCTTGTGACGAAATGCCCTGGGGGAAGAGCCCACTAGAGGTGAGAGAGCTCTGCACCCTCACCACACTGTCTCTGGGCACTTGGGCACTTGGAATGCTGCCGTGGTGTCTGTTCCTCCGTGTCACTGAGAACTGGCCATGGGGCTGCGCATATTGATCCATTACACCCCTGGTCCAACAGCTGGACAGTACTGGACAGAACCTGCCTTGATCTGTCAGGACTCCCTGTGAGGACCAGCCTAGTTCCCTTTTGAACCACTCCTGATTCCTGTCTTAGAGAAGTGCATTTAAGTAGTTACCTAGAGGAAAAGGAATTTGTGAGGCGGACTAGGATTAGAGGCTCAATTGGCGGTGTCCCTGAGCAGAAAGAACCACTAAGAAGGCCAGAGTCAGTATTTAGTGGGAGAGTCCCTGGAAGTCAGCTGTTCTTAGAACCCCAGCTCAGATGGGTCTCATCTGGCATTTTCCTTTTCAGTTTCTTTCTCTGCTTGTCTGGCGCTAGCTTTGCTGTTTCTCTTCATGTCTTTCTTTCTCTGAAGCTCTTTGTTTCTCTGCCTGTTTTCTCTTGGGTATTAGTAGTGCCCAATGCTGCAACAGTAGTAAAAGCAGAAAACAATGAGTGAAAATCTAAATGAAGTCACTTCTGTTACACAGCAACTGGAGGAGAAGCAGAGCATGTCCGGGGACAAGAGTGTGCTCCCAGCTTCCTTGCGAGTGTGGGAACCTCCCGAATCTCCTGCCTGCAGCTTAGAGCTGCCATTACCCCGTGCAGAGGAGTCTCAGGCCCAGCTTCCACAGCAGCACCAGTGTGTCTGCTAAGTGGCCACAGGAAGGCTGCTTCTACCCCTCAAATTTCCTTTATTACTGTCCTCAACCTGCCTCTGATCACACAGGTGAAAGTTACCCAGGCCCAAGAAATAAAAGTCTCAGTCTGGTGCTTTGGCGGAAGTCCGCCGCTGCCTCTAGCTCCTGCTGAGCCCATCCCGCCTGCAGAAGACGTGCTTGGGGACGCTTGTGCTCTGTCTGTGAGGGTCTGTGCCCTTCATTTGACCTCAGGATTGGAGAGAGAAGACTTGGAAAGCAGGGATGTAGGAAGACACCAGCCAGTTTCTGTAGTGATAAATGCTCTTCGCTCTTCGATGCTGAACTCTCAGGTTCCAGTGCTTACAGACTTGACTTCCCTCCTTCTGTGTCACCAGCAGGGGTTCAGATGACCTGGGGATGGTAGATTTCCCTCTTTGCAGAAAAGGAGGTGATGGATCTGATTCTGACTGAAGCTTCTCATTCCCCATCAGGTCTATGATATCGCGTTTAGCCGCGCTGGGGGCGGCAGGGACATGTTTGCTTCGGTGGGCGCTGATGGCTCTGTGCGGATGTTTGACCTCCGCCATCTGGAACACAGCACCATCATTTATGAAGACCCCCAGCATCACCCACTGCTTCGCCTCTGCTGGAACAAGCAGGACCCTAACTACCTGGCTACCATGGCCATGGATGGAATGGAGGTGAGCATACCACCTGGGGCTGACATCCAGCCTCCTACCTAATTCCTGCACTGCTTATTATATCTAGAATAGTCCTAAGCGGTGCCATTTTCTCCTTACTGGATCTTTGGAAATGTCTGGAGATATCTTTAATTCTCCCTATTCAGGGACAGTGGGCAGTGCTACATTGGTGGAGGCTGGGGGTGCTGCTAAACATCTTATAATGCATTGGACAGGCCTCACAAGTGTCAATAGTGCCAGGATTGAAATAGCCTGATATAGAACAACTGCTGTGTGTTAAGAACTTTTAACACTTAGACATTTGGAGTTGGAGCCAAGAAAAGCAGTATCTCAAGAGTAAACCAAATCCTATGTGCTTATGGCACTGAGTAAAGAAACAGGCCATTTCCCCCTTCTGTGGTCTGGACAGATTCCTCCAGCTTTAGCAAACAGACGTGGAAGTGGTGACTCTCTGTCGACTGTGACTGGATAAAGTAGTAGGTTGGAGGTGGTACAGTGATGGAAGCAGAGGTAGTAGAGTGATTAATGCTGCTTTGTGTGGCCAGCGCCTCAGACTCCTTACATTCCAGATTCTGCCTTGGATGTGGGGTGGGAGGGCTCACATCCTGCCCAGCTGCGCATGCACAGAATTCCTAGCACAGGCACCTAATGGAACTTGGTGGATTAACCAAATTGATCTTAGCTACTCTGCTTCTCCCCTTTCTTACCCATGTAAAGACCTGTGATGTTTAAGATCAGATACTAAAATACCTGAATCATCTTTGTTTTCTTTTTCCTCAATCCTATAGCTGCTTTGGTAGCAAAAACTCTGTCTCTATTAGCCTTTAAATCCAAAAGTGAACAAGTTATGCTAAAAAAGAGTTTTTTCTTATGTAGCGTTGTTTTGGTTTGTTTGTTTGCTCTTCATATCACACCTTGAAGTTCTCGGCCTTTTACTCTGCCTGCAGGTAGTGATTCTGGATGTCCGAGTTCCCTGCACGCCTGTCGCCAGGTTAAACAACCACCGAGCCTGTGTCAATGGCATTGCGTGGGCCCCGCATTCATCGTGCCACATCTGTACTGCAGGTAATGTGGTGGGAGGGGAGCGTGATGCGGAGGGAGTGGTAGGGAGATCATCTCGTCTCGCTGAGGATAGTTCAGAAATTTATACAAAAGAATTCAACTGAGAACCACCCCATGCTTGTGAATTCGAAGAATCCAGATTTCCAGATGAAATCTGGAGCATCTTCCCTTTACTGTTTGAGTCCATCATCAGTTAGAGGCCTATGCCTCGGCTGCCCCAATAAGCCACTGTTAAAGGGTGAAGTTGATTCCAGTCCTGTTTATCAGAAATGGGCTTGCGTGTCAGGATGGGCTGATGTGGTACTGAAGGTCATTGCCTTTTTTTCTATTCTTCTCTAAAATTAAGAACTTAATTTCGGTTATATGAGCACATTATAGATCACTTAGGAACTAAAGTCAATATAACTCACTACCTTGCCATCTTAAAACCTTGCCATCTTACTTTAATATATTTCCTTCCACTCATTTTACATATATCTTCTTTATGGTATTTTCCATAGCTCTTAAAAACTTTCGTTTTTTTTTTTTTTTTAGATTTATTTATGCATATAAGAACTGGGTTATAGGCCAGAGATGTGGGGTGGGGGGGGGGGTGAGAGGATTCACCAGAAACAGAGTGGGGAACAGAACAGGCAGATTGACTAAAATACACTGCTGAGGGGAGCAGCGGGCAGGTAGTCAGGAGAGGTCTGTGGGTTGCTTCCTGACCGGCTGGGGATCGAACTCATACTGCACTGGCTGCAGATAGCTTCTTAGGTTGTGTCTTAACCCCTTGCACCACCAGGGAGGCCCCTTAAAAACTGTTTTTAATAGCACATAGTACTTTATCTCATTATCTGTATAACACCTCATGAATGTCTATTAAAAAAACCAGGAGGGTCCATTCAGTTAAATCATCAGAGTACTTTAAAATGACATGTTTTGGGGTCATTTTGATCCCATCGTCCTCTCCTGATGCCCGTCACGTGGGAGGTGCCTTCTCAGGTCTGCTGTGCTGTCTCAACTCTGCTATAGTGACTGAGCCAGAGGCTTGGCTTGGAGTCCCACCTCCGCCACTAGCTGGCTGCATAGCTCTGCGGTCTGGGATGAATGCCTGAACCTTTCTCACTCTCAGTCCTCTGATCTATTAAAATTAAAGACCCCTCACAGGGGTTTTGGTGGGCAGACACTCTGTAACCCGTGATGTCCTCACCCAGGCCCCCAGTGCGGGGATCATTACCCTCCATCCCTGAGTTGTGACCCTGCCTGCTGGCTTTCTCTGTCCCTAGCTGATGACCATCAGGCTCTCATCTGGGACATCCAGCAAATGCCCCGGGCCATCGAGGACCCTATCCTGGCCTACACCGCTGAAGGAGAGATCAACAACGTGCAGTGGGCATCGACTCAGCCCGACTGGATTGCCATCTGCTACAACAACTGCTTGGAGATACTCAGAGTGTAGTGTTGGTGGCGCCATGGCCACGCGGCAGGGGCTTGTGTGTCCTGCCCCTGCCCCACCCCCAAAGTAAGAAGAAATATGTTTCCGGTGGCCAGTATGTCTTTCATTGCTTTGCACCCGCTGTTACCAGAAGCTGCTCTAGGAGTCCTGGCCAATCACCCATCACTGTGCTAGACTCAGTGCTGTGTGGCGCCCCTCAGCCCAGGCTGAGTTTTAAGATACTCTTTTTTCTCTTCTCCTTTGGTCCTTCAATTAAAAGTTTCTGTATATTTGTTTGTCAGCCGTTGTGTTAATGAGCATTCCAGGCACTGGCTGTGTTTGTGTTCATCTGCCCCCTGTCTCTGTGTGCTGCGGAGCAGCACTCTCTGCCCTGTCCCCGCCCTGTCCGTGTCAGTGGGAACATGCCAGTTTGCAGTTGTCTTTCCTCCTGTTATTAATGTCTTTAAAAAATTTCAACTTTGTATATTTTTTATCTATCGGGCTAATTTTTTTATGAAAAGAACTTTACTCTTCCTGGTTTCTTCCTTTGTTTCATAGTCCTCCCTACTAGCACCTCTTCTCCTCCCTGGTGCCCGGAGCAGCACTGGGCCCTTCATCCCAGCAGCACTTTGCCTTCTTGAATCACTGCCTGAGCGGAGCGCACCTGACCGGGAGTCCAAACCGCCTTGGTGCTCAGAAGTCGGCCACCTCACACCTTTTCTCAGCCTGGCTCTTCTCAAGGGCATTCTGGGCTCCAAAATAGACATGTGAAGCCTCCTGTCACTCCCGGAAGTACCTCTGTCCAGCCCCACTGAGACCTGGCGGGCATGTGCCTGATTGGGGTGGCTAACATGGCTTTATAAAAGTCATCTTGCATATAAAATGACTTGAGGGGATAGTTGCAGGAAAGCTGAGCTCAGCATGTATTTCCAGCCTCTAGTTGGCATCTGCTTTGCCTTCACCTGGAAGCCCAGCCCTTCCATTCCGTGTCTTGAATGCTAGGCAAGGATGATCCTCTAAGCTGAGCGGCACTATTTTCTTTGCTTAGTTTACTGTGACTGGTGTTACATTGGCAACTTTGGGTCGACTGCTCTGAGGGAGAGAGGCCTGCTGGAGGGGCACTGTCTCTGAGCGGGAGCTCCTTCAGAGTGTGGGAGACTCGGCTCTCGTAAGGAACGAACTAATAGGCTGTGAGGATCCCAGGCCTTCAGGTAAATAGATAGCTTCAAAAGAATCAGAGGCCTCAGGGACAGCCAGTTAAGAGCCCACTGACACCCCTCTTCCCGTCTCTGGCTTAGGTTCTGAGCCGTCCTGGCCTGCAGGCCACAGGGGTCTGTTTCCGTTACATGAGTGAGTTCCATGGAGGGGGCTTGTGTGTGATTCTGATGTTAAGTGAGTCCTTAGGCAGGCCGAGTTTGGGGGGACAGTTTGCTGGTTTGTTGTGCTCTGTCAAGTGCCAGAGAAAAATTTCTGAAACCCTCCAAATTGCATGTGTGAGATAAGGAGAGATTAAGGCTGGTCGTTTGCCCACTTACGCTCTCACCTGCTCTTGAGAAACAAAACTGTTCTTCCGGGCCCTTGAAATCTTTTGGTTGAGTCCTCCTTTTCAGAGCAGATATATCTGTGTTCCCCATAGTCACAGCTCTTTGCTTTACTACAGAGGCCTGTCCTAAAGAAAAAAGCGCTTTTTTCAGTCAGGTTATTTCCCTTTCTACCTTATTACTGTCTAGTTCTCATGTTGGGTTTCTGACTTGGGGTTGACCCTCTGCATTTACCACAGTGCTGCAGTTAGGCATGGTGTTGTGTGGAGGCGTGGGTCAGAACCTCCTCTGCTTTTCATTGTGTTTGATTGTTAGTGTCCTTCTCTGCAGGGCAGTAAGTCTGAGCCATCAGTTCCTTCCTGAGGAAAAGGGTCTGAAATGGAGATCAGAGTGGTAGAAAGGCTGGGCCTGCCCAGACAGGCCTTAACCACACTGAGTTCTGAGTTAGAATTCCTCTCCTGATCCGCCCTTCAACCTGGTGAAAGCATTTGTCACCTGGAATGCGAAAAACAACCTGGGCAAAGAATTAGTCAATAGTAATTAGACTCTATTTGGATAAAGTAGCAATTCACCCTGGAAGCTAACAACTTTTGATGTGGGTTTTTTCCTTGTCCTGTGGACACCCAGCCCTGTCACCCTTCCTCAGACCCAGCGGTACTCCTTATGACATCTCCCCCCCCCCACTGGGGCTCAGGTGACACTCCTAGTCTCCCTAAGCAAATACACCTGTGCTCACGGTTGGAGGGATGCTGGTATTTTGAAGCCCCGGCTCTCTTACCCTCCCCTAACACCACAGGCCAAGGAGGGCCTCCTGGCTGAGCATGGGGTTTCTATCCTCTCAGGATTTAGAATGCCTCCTAGCCAGCCAGGCCCCAGGAAGTAGAGATCTGTTGTAGTTTCAAAAGCAACTGTCATTTGTTCAGGTTCTCAAATTGGCAGCTAGAAGGAATGGGGGGGAGGCTCTGGATCTGTTCTCCCCCTGCAAGAGAGGCACAGGGGCTGGGAAGGCCTTGAGCTCAGGCTCTACAGGCTGAGCAGCAGACCTTTGACTCACTCTGGACCCACCGAGTCAAGCTGCCTCTGTGTTCTTTATGTGCTCTGATGAGAGGGGGGAGCGCTGAGTCAGACAAGCCTCTGCCCCACCATCAGAGAGCTGATGTCCGGATATAAGTCCCCCCAGGCCTTTACACCAGGAAAGCAAAAACTCTCCTTACAGGAAGGAACCAGGCTGCAAGGTTAGGACTTGAAGAGGGAAGATACTTGATAACTGGGTGAGGATTTCTTATCAGAACCAGGATGAACTTTCAGGGAACTGATTAAATTTGCAGGGAGGGGGGGACCACCAGGAAATTTGAGAATCCTACAAAGTTTTGATGATAGTTGGGGCTGAAATTTTAAGAGGAGATTTAAGATGGGGGAGAAAAACAGTAAGGGTTTCTTTAGCCTAAACATACTAGAAAACCGTAAAGGTCTGGGAAGCATTTAGACTGTCGTCATGTGGTCATGGAGTGAGACCTAGCCTCAGCCTGTCATTCCTTCTGGGCCATTCATTGGGCACTATGGGGACAGGGATAACTGGGGGCAGAGCTGATTTGTGGCAGTGGAGATTTACAGAGGGTGGGAGTGCATGCCTGTCAGAACGCGGCTTATTTTGGTTACAGGTTGGTACAGAGCTGAAGAAGCTAAGGTTATAAACAGTCATGCTGACTTTCCCCCTTTTCTCTCCTTTTCTCTTCCTCATTACCTTACCACTGTAGAGCTTTCTCCCTCTGCTACCTGGGCCTTGAATTCCTAGGCTGTAAGGTTCTATAGGAGCTTCAGGGTTTACCAGATCTGGGAGTGCCAGCTTAGTGCCATCCCTCCCCAGCTTGAGAATATAGCAGCTCCCTCAAGTACCGGGCAGGGCAAGGGACACCTCTGAAGTGGAAGCCTCAGAGATGCTCCCCTTTACTCTCAGCACTCCAGGATGGGGAAGGAGGGTAAGACTTGGCACTTAATTGGGTTTCCTCTGGGAGGAAAGCTGAGTTGGGCAGTCACTATGGACCCTGCGTCAGGCTGTCCAGAAGTCTCCTCTACTGGTTGGGCCAGCTATGAGCGCTTTGTCCACCTCTGTCACCCTCTTCTTTTCTCACGGTTGTCATTGCTGCTAATGGTCAAAGTCAAATGCATGGCCACACAGGATGGGCCAGGTCCTCTCAGGCTACTTTCTGGATGTTACTTTTTAAATATTAAAACATGCAGGTGCCTTCCCAAAGAGGCTTGGACTGGTGTATCAAACCAGAAACAAATAAGCAAATGAAAGTATGAACTCAAGAAGAAATGTTGGCAGTGTGTGTAACAGCTGGAGAACTAACAAGCACCCACTTTTGGGACAACGCAGTGAATATGAACTGGTGATATCTACAATTTAAAAGGACTGTATCTCACCTTGGCTTGACTGTGGCATATACAATGTGACATGGAACTTGCTGAGCTAAAGCTTTGACTGGCTTTAGTGGAGTATGAATCATTGGCTCTGGTTCCTGTGTATTTTATGACTTTCCACCCCTGCTCCCCTGTCAGTGACTTTCCACCCCGCTCCCCTAAGTGTGAACTTGTAGCATGATTGTACAAACTTCTACGTAGAAGATGGAGATTTCTTGTTCACTGAAATGCTAAGCTCTAGCCAATCAACTTCTGTCTCCTTTAGTCTAGTGTGTCTGAACTTTCTTTCTCATTATATATTGAAACGTTTCTTCTGTACTATAGGTTTTGTGGCTTCCCATGGTCAGGTGGAGAGGAAGCTGCCCCTTGGAGAACTGTACTGTAACCACTTTCTTTTTGAAATATTATTTTCGCAGGACTGACTGTACACAGGGCTTGTAATAAAATTTTAACACTGTGCTGTGAAAACACGATGGTAACTCTCCATTGAAGGGGACTTCAAAGGCACCTGAAAATGGAGTGTTCTAGTTATGACTTTATTTCTTGTTTCCCAAGATATATTAAACCTAATTTTTACCCTTTCCTTCTGTTTCAGCCTCCTGTATAAGAAGTACCGTATTTTCTGCCCACCATACTTTGTAATAAAACGTAAACATGTATAGGTTGACTGAATTGCTTGTGATGAATTCAGTTCCTCCCATTCTGCCCCTGTGGCTTTGCTCCAGAGACACTGGCTGGGGATTGGACTCCTCCCCAGCCCATCCCAGTCTCTGACAGCCTGACCCATTGCCTTTACGACAACACAGAACACCTGCTCTGTGCCAGGGCCCTTGCCCTCTAGTTGCTCATGGTCTACCAATGGAGCCTCCATATACATCCTGGCAGTGTTGTGCAATAATAGGTTTGTTCAGGCTTACTTGGGGCCCCGAGGAGGAGGTAATCAATTCTGTCCGGGTGGGAGTCAGAAGGGGACAGGGAAAACTTCACAAGAGGAAGAATGCTTAAGCTGGGCCTTGAAGGTTGAATAGGAGTTCTAAAGGAAAAGGCAGCAGGAATATTCATGCACAGCTATTTAGAGGTAAGAAGGAATATGGTCATTTAAAGGCGATGTGGGGTTTTATATGGAGAATGGTGGGAAATGGGACTAAAGAGGTAAAAAGAGCCAGATCAGACAGTCTTGTGCTTTGCAGAGTTTAGACCTTACTCCTTTGTGAACCTCAGGAAATCACACATAGCAATTATGCTCAGGACTGTTTTAGGAGGCAATGAAAAAATGCCTCAGTGGGTGAGATCATTTGTTTATATTTTTATTTATTATAATAGTCAAGGATATAAAGCAGGAGCAGCAGGGAAGGAGAAGACAGGCACAATGGAACAGATTCAAGAGATGAGATGGTCAGGATTCAGTAATCTTGGTTATGGATGACAAAGAAGTGGTAACTCCCGGATCCCATGGGTGTGTGCACCAGGCTTGATGGCTGTGACTAGAGTTAAGTCCAAGCCAGTTTCCTAAGTCGATGCCCCAATATGGTGAGATGGAAGAATTCTTGCCCTTACTGGTATTCAAATGCTGTGAGTCCAGGAAGAATATTCCCCCCACTTAACCTTTGCAATTTTTATTCTTATTTGGCCAATTTAAGGGAAGAGAAGGCAAACTGATTGGTTCAGTGAACCAGGACTTAATTAAATTCTTCCATTGTTTTAGAAGACGAGGAGGTGGGGTGGTAGTGGGTCTGGGAAGAGAGTTTAAACTGGAGAAAAAGGAGAACCTGCTGGCTCTGATAGAACTGTGCTGTGGTCTGACAACAGATATGTTATGGGAAATACATGGTTTCTGCTCTTTTTTTTTTTTTAAGATTATGCATACAAGAACTGGGGTACAGGCCAGGGTCTGGGGGGTGAGAGGATTCACCAGAAACAGAGTGGGGAAAAGAACAGGCAGACTGACTGAAATACACTGCTGAGGGGAGCAGCGGGCGAGTCAGGAGAGGGTCTGCTGTGCCATGTGGGTAGCTCCCTGGCTGGGGATAGCTTCATAGGTTGTGTCTTAACCCCTTGTGGCACCAGGGAGGTCCTGCTCTTTGGTTTGTAAGGAGAAAGCTGAGAGTATTATAATCTCAGTAACCTGGGCTAGGCTTCAGTATCAAAACTCCAAGACTGAACACAACAGAAGTTTTGTTTTTGTTTTTGTTTTTGTTTTGTTGTTTTTTTTTTTTTTTGCTTACATGAAGTCATTTAAAGGTGGACCAACTCTCCATTTGCAGCTACATCATCCAAAATATGTGGACTCCAAGGTAACTTTGGAGGCAGAGGTGGGGGTATATATTTTTCAAGGGAAACCTGGAAATGCCTTACTCGCCTCTGCCCATACCTGCCAAATTTAGTTCCATGATTTCAACCTAACTTCAGGAAGGTCAAGAAATGTAGTCTTCCTTATACTTACGAAGACAACAGGGCAAGTAGCACACCACACTATCAAATAGTCAAGTACTAGAATAATAACCAGTGCTCCATTATTGAGAAGTGTTAGTTCACATGTTCGGATCTCATAGAGCAATACCGTCAACCAGTCTCTAGCATCCAAGGCTCATTGTTAATATTCTCGAAGATGCTTAAAACCAGGTCTCGAGAGAGTTACCTTGAGAATTTTTCTTGAGAAAGTAAATATTAGATTAGACCAAGAAAGTAAAAATATCTGCCCTGCCATTCATCAAGATAACAGACACAGATAAAACTAATAGCAAAGTTAACAAGAAACACACTTTGCAAGCACACATTGCAACTTAAAAGTATCGTAGCAATTCCCTTCTCTGAGTAACTTTATATTTTAATTCATTGAGAACCTTGATTCTCTAAAATCAGATGGTCAGAAATTTGCTGTTTGAAATGATGTGGAAATGAAGCCTTACAATCAATCTACTTGGAGAATCTAAGTTACATGACAGAAGTAGCCTTGATTTCCAACCCAGGTGTAGAACCTTAGAGCAGGGTTTTCTGAACAGATGTTCCACATTTATCTCAACTTTATAGTTCTAAGGAAAACTGGCGAGATTGGGGGAAAATGAGTGACCGCCAATTGGACGGGGTTTCTTTTGGGAGTGGTTAAGATGTAAAATGGATTGTGGTGATATCACCACAAATCTGTGAATGTACTAAAAACCACTGTATAATTTAAATTGGTGAATTATGTCAGTAAAGCTGTTATTTAAAAAGTTATTTAAAAACTGCTGGGTACAGGAGTATAGTCGAATTTAGTGTGGTGGCAGAGACACATTTTGATATTAAAAAGGTAAGTGCTAAGTACAGGAATGCATGAAGAATTTTGTGAGCACAGATAGAGTATCTAAGCCCAACTGGAGAATTTGGAGATGTTTTCATCTGGTGGGAAATGATTCCTCTGGTGCTGAATGTTGAAGAGCAAAATTGGCCAGGTGAAGTGAGTTGGGCACACAGACCAGTCAAGACACAGGTTTGTGCTTAATACAGGAATTCAGATTAGAAGCAACCTGTGGTTTCTAATCTACAAAGAGTAAGGGGCATGCCAAACCCATCATTAAGTACCTTGATCATAAGCAAAAAGTGAACTGTTACCACTAAAAATTCAAATAAGGACCCTAAGAAGGCTTCACTGAAGAGGTAACAGCTGAACTGGATCTTGAAGCATGATAGAGCTAACCAGGAGACAGTAAAGGAATTCCTAGCAGAGGAGCAAAGAAGTAATAACATAATATAAAATCTATGCCCATGTACTCTATATCCATTATCCATTTAATCTTCACAAGGCCATTCTACAGGTAAGGAAACTGAAATGCAGGAAAATAAAGAAATTTGCCCAAGGTTACACTAGGTTGTGGAGCAAGTAAAGCTTGAACCCACCCATTCTAGTTGGAGAGGCCACACAACTACAAGTTCATACTCTTAACGCACCAAGTCCTTTGGACTTATTTTCACTAGCATGGGGAGCTACTGGAAAGCTTTTCAGCAGATGCCACTTTATTTCTTTACTCTAAATGGCCTCCTTTTTCTCTTTGGGACAGTGGAGAAGGAAACTTGCCTCCAAAGGCTTTTCTAATCATCCTCCCTCTCCCGAGCCCTCATTCTTTCATTTATAGGTGCTTAATGAGTATGATCGCCACTGTTTATGTAAGTGGTTACCTCAAAGCTCCAAGTGCTTATTTTGTGTTTTCAACCTTCCTATATAGGTAAAGTAGTAGGAGCATCCTTATTTACAGATAAGGAAGTTCAGCGGCATGGAATGACAGGGCAAATCACAACTCTGGGCGTTCGATTCTTTACCTGTAAAACGAAGAGATTTTATTGCATATGTCTTTGCAACAACATCACATCATTCTGGACCTGCTCAGAGTTGGGAAGCAATTCGGAAGGAAAATCAGCTTCATAACTCAGATTTGTCTCTACTAGATCACTGTAGGAAATAAAGTCCGTTGCTCCCAGGGAATCGGGCGGGCTAGAGCGACGCATCGCCTCACTTCATCTCTGGGCCGGCTCCCGGCGCCAGCGAGAACACAGGGAGTACGGTGCGGCGGCGGAACGGATGTTGCGGGCAGTGGGGATACATTTTTGGACGGACCGGAAAAAGAAAGTGTTCCTCGCCAATTAGGGTCCGGCTGTCGGCTGCCGGCTGCAGCCCGGACGGTACGGCGTAGTTAGCGTTTGAGTAGCTCGGGGTCTGGGCCGGAGACTTTGGATCTCCAGATACTGGTGGAACCGACTACAGGCTCCGGACTTGCTTGTATTGGCGGCGAACGGGACGGGCTGACCTTGGTGCCGCTCTTGACCTTGGACAGAGTCGAAGCGGATGGCGTCTGGGGCTGCTGTAAGCTTGAGCCGGGCCGCTGCCCCATGCTTTCGGGCGCGCGGCCTCGGGGCCCGGGTGGCTCTGTGGCGCTTCCACCTACCCTCCCAGTCAGAAGTCCGGGGCCGGACGATGCATCTCACCGCGGCGGTCCCCGCCGGGCACAACAAGTGGTCCAAAGTCCGGCACATCAAGGGTCCCAAGGATACTGAAAGGAGTCGCATCTTTTCCAAGCTTTGTTTGAGCATCCGCCTAGCAGTTAAAGGTAAGAATTTGACGGCCACCCCTCGCTGGTGGCCGCTGCCCTTTCTGTGCCCAAGGCCTCGTTTGCCTTGCGGAGTTGAACCACGGCTCACCCCAATTCTAGTCCGTTAATTTTCTTCACCTTCCCCAATTCCCACCGTCGCCCACTTCAAGCTGGTTGAACATTCAGCATCTGGAAAAGTGAGTAGGGACATCCAAAACTGCTTGTCAGGGAGCTGTTCTTAGATAAAAGTAACTTCATCCTCAAGACCGTAGCAGGGACATTGAGTAAAGCTGTTACTTGCCCAAGGCCTCAGTTTGCTTCAGCATAGTTTCCTGAGACGTTTTCTTGGAAATTAGGTTTGCACCCTGGGTTTTTTTTTAATATTTATTTTTTAATATTTATGCATACAAGAGCTAGTGTACAGGCCAGAGATGCGGCTGGTGAGAGGGTTCACCAGAGACAGAGTGGGAAACAGAATAGGCAGACCGACCAAAATACACTGCCGAGGGGAGCAGCTGGTGAGACA